CGGGGGCGCGCCTGCGCCTTTTAGAGTATGCAGCTGAAACTTATTGGATTTCATTAACCAATGTCACCAGAAAATAATTGATTAATTAATTTTTAAATGACCTTATTACCTAAAGCATTATACAAATTTAATGCAATCCCCATCAAAATCCCGTTGGCATTTTTTAAATAAATAGAACAAAAAAATCATCAGATTTTTATGGAAGCACAAAAGACCCCGAATTGCCAAAGCCATCCTGAGAAAAAAGAACGAGGCTGGAGGCATCACTCTGCCCGACTTCAAATTATACTACAAAGCAACAGTAATCAAAATGGCATGGTATTGGCAGCAAAACAGACACACGGACCAGTGGAACAGAATTGAGAGCCCAGAAGTAAACCCATATTTATGTGGGCAAATAATTTTCTACAAAAAAGTCAAAAACATACATTGGAGAAACAAAAGCCTCTTCAATAAATGGTGCTAGAAAAACTGGAAAGCCACAGGCAGAAGAAGGAAACTAGACTTTTGTCTATCACCGCACACCAAAATTATCTCAAAATGGATTAAAGACCTGAATATAATAAAACACAGTAGAAAACATAGGAACTAAACTCAAGGACCTTGGACTTAAATAGGATTTTATGAATTTGACCTCAAAGGCAAAGGAAGTAAAAGCTAAAATAAATGAATGAGACAACATCAAACTAAAAAGCTCTGTACAGCAAAAAAAAACTGTCAACAAGATAAAGAGACAAACATCTCAATGGGAAAATATATTTGCAAGCAACGCCTCCAATAAGGGCCTAATATCCAAAATATACAAAGAACTCATACAACTCAGTAACGACAAAAAAACAAATGATCCAATCGAAAAATGGGCAGAGGACCTGAACAGACACTTCTCCCTAGAGGACATACAAATGGCCACCAACTATATGAAAAGATGCTCAACATTGCTAGCTATTAGAGAAATACAAATCAAAACCACAACAAGATACCATCTCACACCTGTTAGAATAGCTATAATCAACAGGACAAATAATCACAAACATTGGAGAGGATGCAGAGAAAAAGGAACCCTCCTACACTGCTAGTGGGACTGCAAATTGGTACAGCCACTATGGAAAACAGTATGGAGGTTCCTCAAAAAACTAAGAATTGATCTACCATATGATTCAGCAAATGCACTACTGAGTATTTACCCCAAAGACTTGAAAACCCATATTTGAAAAGATATTTGCACACCAATGTTCATAGCAGACGTACTCACAGCCAGGACATGGAAGCAACCGAAGTGTCCTACGATAAATGATTGTCTAAAGAAGCTGTGGTACATATATACAATGTTCTTACTCATCCATAAGAAGAGATGAAATACTGCCATTTTGCAACAACCTAGGTAGACTTCGAGACAATCATGCTAAGTGAAATAAGCCAGACAGTGAACACACAGTGTAAATATATATGTGCCTTACTGTTAAAGTGTACAGCTGAAACTTACTGGATTTTATTAACCAATGTTACCATAAAAAATAAATTAATTATTTTTTTTTAAAAAGAGAAAAAGAAATAATAAATAAAATGGAACCAGAGCTGCCATCCCGGAGGAACTGCAACAGGGACAAAATAACCTTTGGAATGGGCATAAAGCAACCTTGTACCCCAAAGAACCGTTTGCAGATAACAAGAAAGAAGATATTATGACTATCAGACTGACTACTGGACTAAAAATTAAAAACATTTAGCATTAACATCACTATAGTATATTACCTGCACCAATAGAAATGTCTCCCTTCTATTGATGTAGTTGTTCTCCCCTTTCTCATAAATACCCATTCCCATTGTCTCCTAATTGGAACACTATTGGGGCTTCAGCTTAAATCAGTGCATCTCACATAGTTATTCTTTGATCTCAAATAGATGCTTGTTGCTTCTCACTTTGAAAGGCCTTTTTTATTTTTAGGTTAATGAACAAATGAAAAAATTTTGATAATGCAAAAGAGAGAAAGGAAGAACTGCTGAAAAGATGTCCCTAAGTGGGGGTGGGGATATAGGGAACTGAAAGGGCTGGAGCAGAAAGCAGCATAGATGGTTTATTTAAGGTTATCAGGCAGGGAGGTGTGGGTACAGCTGATGATAGCTGGGTAGATAAAGTGGGAGACTGTGAGGCTCTTTTCTGATTGCTACTATTTTATCCCTATTAACTTAACAATGCCTCATTCTGAGAAAACTTTAAACCAAAAGGAAAACCTCTCTTCTGAGGTCATAGAGTTTTAATAAACTTGTACAGGGAAAGTGGGTGAGAAGGGCCTGGGAGAGATTTTTCGAAAAGTAGAAAATGCGAGAATCAATGCTGGGCAGCAGCAAGAGCACAGGAACAGTGCCATTATGCACATTGCACAATGCAGAAGCAACAGCATTACCATTTAGATTTTACTTTATTTGTTCCTAGCCCAAGTCCCACAATTACCAATCTTTTACTTAGCCCAAATATGAAGTCCTCCTCTAGCTACTTGAGTTAAATCTGCCACCCTGATCAGTTTAAGTACTGTACTTAATAGTCTAAGGCCCATCTATAATCAGGAGCCTGTACATCTCACTACTTAATATGCTACGCAAAAAGTCATTGGTTCACAAATATTAGCTGCAACGTCCTAAAACCTTGAAACATTTAAGTAGAAGGAATTAAAGTTGTCAGAAAATACTATCTAGCCATCACCTTCCTTTAAGTAGCAAAATTGAACAAGGCATGGAATGCCATTAGACTACTTGTCACAAAGGGAAACCTACCAAACACCCCAAACCATTAAGACAAGAGGATTGATTACACAGACTGTTATACCACCTCTGACTTTGGGTTTGTGCCTGTCAATAAACTCTATACGTATGTAAAAAAAGAAAAGAAATTGCTCCAATCCTGAGTCTATGTGCCCATAAGCAGTATTATGCTAAATTTATTCTGACATTTTAGGCAACTAAAGGTAACTAATTAATGCACTCATAATTTCGGCTGATTGCTAATCTAAATGACCAAAATTGATGGACTAGCCCTGCACATCAATAGGGTAACCACACGGTCATGTTTTTGAGGAATGGGTATGTTTATTTTCCACAATAACAAAGAGGTCAACAGCGATTCTGCTCCAAAACATACAGTAACTGTAGTTTACAACTGCAGAAGAAAAATCTATTAACACAAAGAGAAGACAATTAATCTAATTCTACGGAACACCAGCAGCCCAACTGTAAATCGTATACTTCAGGGGCGAAGAAAGTTTTTCTATAAAGTTCCAGATAATAAATATTTTAAGTTTTGCAGGCTACATGGTTTCACTTGCAACCAAGTCCTGAGACACCTTGCAGGAGTTCCTCCTAGGGATGTGGAAGAGTCAGGTGACACTCTCAGCTCCGCCCACGTGTTCCTTGCCCCGTAGGCCCGCCTTACGCATGCGCGGGTGGGGGGCGGGCAGCAGGGCGTTGGAACGTGGCCGCCTGGCGGGACAGAATGGGGCTAAATGTAAGGGCCGTTTTCTTCGACCTGGACAACACACTCATCGACACTGCCGGGGCGAGTAGAAAAGGCATGTTGGAGGTAACTTCCGCGTATCCCCATCCCTCCTCCGGGCGGAGTCAGCGTGCCCTACCCGTAATTGCGCGCTCTCCCGGTTCTCTTGGTGCCCTTTCCCCTCTCCACTTACGCGGCGCCGGAAGTCAGATGATCCTTCAGGGCCCCCGGGGGCATTGGCCTTTCTTTTGAGACCCCTGTACCGGAGGGAGCGGGAAAGAAGGACGACTGGGTTGGGGAGGCAGCCTTCCCTCCAGCACGGCATTTTAAGTCACCTGCCTGCCACGCTCTGGGAAGCTGGGTTCTTGAAGTTGGTTCCGGCGCTTTGGGACCCAGAAGGATGTCATTAACGGTGCCACAATGGTATGAGTTGCCACCATACAGACGTTCACATCATGCAGCGAGTCACCTGGCTTTTTGCTAGGACAGGTTTGAATCAGCCAGGACGAGTGCACGCACCATGCTCTCTGTGGTTGACCTCGGGGGTGGGTTGTCCCCCCACTGCGTGTTCTTCGGTGGGTTTTTGAGGAGACTTAGAAGTTCCACAACTGTCAGTGGTGAGCCTAGACTTAATCAACTCCTGAAGTATTCTCTGCAGAAACTCCCCTCCTGGCACTCTTAGTAGATTTCTGAGATACTCAAAAGTCTGTCCTGCACAGGGCATTCCTTTCAGGAGGCATTGCATCAGCATCTCTTCCTTTCTAAACCCACATATGCTGTATCAGACCTTTCCTATGTTCTTCAAGCCCCTAATGCATCTGTGCTTTCTCTCCTCTGCCTTCAGCTTTAAGGAGAAAACCAAGGATTATCAGATATGAAAAACCCACTTTCTAAAGCTAATCTTTCCAACCCCAAGTGTCCCCTCCTCTTCATGCTTAGTTAGGTGTTGTCTTTCTAGATCTTCATCCTCTTTCTTGGTGCATTCCATCCCTGCATATGACGTCTGCCTCATACTTTAAAAAAAGGAGGGATATCCCCCTTAAATCTTTGTTCTTCTGCTAGATGTTACCTGCCTCTCTTGACAGCCATGTTTTTCAAGAGAAATCTATACCCATTATCTCTATGCCTCTACTTCCTATTTATTCCTAAATCTATTGCAATGTAGTTTCCATCTTTGCCACTAGAATGAAATTAACAAGTCATTAAGCATCTTCCAACTCGCCAGGATCAGTGAAAGTTTTAAGTGTGTTTTAATGACTTAGTTGAGGCATTCCACATTTTTGACTGCCTGTCCATCTTCACATCCTTGTCCTTGACCTCAGGGGCACCAGCCTGTGCTGTATTGCCTCCAGTATCTCCAGCTGCTGACAGTACACATTTACCTGTGTGTTCTTGGCAGGCCAAGTCCAGTGTGTCACAATTAGGCTAAATCATGCTATAGGCCAAGAGATTAAGCTTTAAAATCAGCTATTTGAATTTAAATCACAGCTCTCCCAGTACCTAGCTGGAAGTACACGAACAAGTTACTTAACCACTCTAAGCCTCAAATCCTCATTATAAAATTTGCAGGGGAAGTACACACAATCTGATGTTCACTTCACGAATCCGCCCTGTTACCCAGTCATCACCTCCTGCATATCTTCCTAGCCCTTGTCTTAGTTAAAGCTGGACTCATCTCTCATCTAGACTGTTGCTGTGGTCTTGTCTATATTCCTGCCATGGTAAAATTTCTGAAACAAATGTTAGATTGTATTTCTCCTTGGTCTTTACACCCTCTTGTTTACCAGCACTGTATTTCATTCAGATATCTCTTAATGCACTTGCCAAAGGTATTATAATTCTTTTTTGCAACTCAAGACTCCCACAACTAAACAGTAGTCTTCTTAAGAGGGAACTGTCAGTCATCTTCATTTGACATAAAGTAAATGTTGAATGAATGCTAGATGGCTGGTTAAAAATCCAGGTATCCCCACTCTTGATTCTTTTGCCACCTCCTTTGAACTGTGTGCTTTTGACTACACAAGGAATGCTTTATCACATAAAAATATAACAACACCCATAAATGTTGGCCTATTTAAAAGTAACATGCCAGCTTTATATATCACTCTGAATGAATTATGAAAAGAGGAAGAAGGGGGAAAGGTCTAGCCATTGCCTTGGGCTTGTGGCGGAGTCATACACTGACTATATAGATCAACTTTAATTTTTGTTTACTTCTGAGAAAGTTATTTCCATTCTCTACAGGCTGTCTCAGTGTCATTATACAGGAGGAAGGCTTCTACAGAAATTTAGGTTTTCTCAGTGAACAAAGCAGAAAAGATTTCTGCATTTGCAAATTTACTTTCTAGTGAGGATGACAGTGAATATAATACACCAAATGTATTTCTAAGTGTGTTAGGCAAAGTGAAGAGGGGAACAAATCTCAATTTTAAATAGGTTGGTCAGATTATGCTACATTCAGTGAATGATGATTAAGCAAAGATTTGAACTAAAAATAACAGGAGTGCTGCTTGAATTGTTAGGCTATATACAGGCAGTCATAGTTGGTGAGCATATATTTTTAACTGTTTTATCTGGAATTCAGCAAACTCATATCTTACCCATAGTGTTATATGGTTCTAACCCTCAAAAAAGTCTTCTTAAATCACAATTAGTTAAACAATAATAGTGATGCTATTAACTTTAATTTTGGCTCCAGGGAGCAGGAAGTAGAATAGTTTTCTTTTTCTGTGTTATAAGACACAGTCTTAAATAGAGTTTTGAAGTAGATGAAGTTCGAGTTTGTATTACGTCTACAAATTGATTCCCCATCCCCTAGCCCCCACTATCTTAGGGCCTCTTTCTTCACACCTATAGGTACTTGGTGGGCTTATTTTTCTCATAATTTTTTCAAGCCTACCTTACCCTTTGCACAAAATGTCATCATACCTCCAAATTAGAGGTCTTTTCCCTCCACCTCCAATTCAATCAAGACTCCCATGCTCTCAGTACAAATGTTAGGAGAATTTGTACTGATAATAACATATACTAATTCAACTGGGGTGTTTTTCTGTTTTATCTAATATTAATATGTGAATAACTGATAAACTTTTTTCCCAAATGTGTTATATAATTTAAATGCTACTTGCTATTCCACACGAATCTGTAATTAGTTACTATGTAACAAAATGGGAAAGTTAATTCAGGGGATGTAATAGGAAGAAATTTTGAACCTTGAGAGTGGTATACTGTGCCTTTACAAGAATCTCCCCTTTAAGGTGAGCCAATTCTGCCTTTTCAGAGACCCAAGAATGTGCTTAATAAATTGCCAATTACAATAACAGAAAATTTGATCTTTATTGGGAGCTCTCTGTTTATTATAAGCCAGCTCCTATTTAAGCTCAAGCACAGTGGAGTCCTAGAGACCTTTTTCTTTTTATTGGGTACTAATAGGGTTACTAAAACTTTAAAATGACCTTCAATCATAGCTAAAGAGTAATTCAGTTGACATTATTATAAAAGATGGTGATATAGACATGAAGGTTGAAAAAGCTTTATTTGTTAATTGAAATTTAACTTTATAAGGCAAAATTTTTCAGTGTTTGCCTTCACCTAAAATTCTTAAGGCTGGTATATTTTCTTGGACTAATGAAACTTTTAATTATTACATTTCCTAACGAGCACAAATAGCCTGAAAAATATTTCCTTTACTTTTGGTGTAGGTGATTCTTATGCTCTGAAGGAAGAAGTATGTGTCTATTCATCTCTATATTTTTTTCAGTAGGTGAATTGAGTGTCTGATGTGAGTAGCGTACCACTTATTCTCTGTATAGTTTAGGGCAACATATTTTAACTTGTTTGATCTCTTTGCTTCGATAACAGACAATTTTAGTCCTAACTATGTGCATTGCACTCATCCTTAAATATCCAAAATTATCTTGGCATGGTTGACTTGCCCCAGTTATCCCTAAGACAAGGACTCCAAGTGCATGTAGTTCATTTGGGAGGTGATCCCAGGAAGCACTGTAGGAGGATGGTGGAATAAGACTGGGAAGAGAAGGAAGTGGATACAGGTTATTTAAATGAACAGGTTACTGGTATGAACATTTGGGGAAATCTGGGAGACAGTATGCAGAACGTTCTTTACTTGTCCCTCCCAAGAGGCAAGAAAACTGTGATATTTATTCATCAATTAATGTCACTCATTGGCTGAGGCCTATTCCTGGGCAGCACTTCATCCCAGCCTATGTGCATGGGTGCCCCTATGGCCAAATAGAGCCCTCAGGCAGAGAAGCCCAAGCACTTACAGTGTGAAGCCATTGGCATGTATAGGAATAGTGTATACCAAGGGGATTTGGTATACACTTCTACAGCCTGGGACTCAAGGCCCTCTACAGACTGATTCTAAACAGACTCTCCAGTCTCATCTCTTAGCATCTTGCCTCACATGACTTCCATCTTGGCTGAACTAAGCTTCTTGCTTTTTCCAGTTTACAGAATTCCAAACTCTATGTCTTTGTTTATGTAGTTCCTTTTGTCTGTACTGATTTTATCCTCCTCCCATCCTTCCTCTGCCAAGCCTTATTCAACAACCCTGTGGAATGACTTGTTCTTTCTATTTTATTTCCACAGTTCTTATTCACAAGACTGCATAGCACTCAACTCAGTATTTGTGGTGGTTGTATACCTGCTTATTTTTCCCAATACATAATGTCATGAGAACAAGGGATCCAGTCTCCAGGTGCCTAATACAGTAGTGTGAAAGCAAGCATGCGGGCTTTGGAAGTAGGCAAGTGTGGGTTTAAATCCCAGCTCGGGCAAATTACTTAACAGTTCTGAACTTCTATTTCCTCATCTCAAAAAGGGAACTCCTTTTGCAGAGTCAGAAATGTAGAAATAACATATGTGAGCATTGGGCATATTGCTCACCACGGTAGGGTCTTCGTAACTGTTAGAAGACAGGCCAAATGAATGAGAGCTTAATGTAATGAAAGCCAAGATAGAGAGCTGTGGGAACACTAGGAGGAGTGCCTAATTCTGAAAGGGAATCAGAACCAGGGTAGCGAAGAGTGACTCAGAACTACTTGAAGCTTTTTTTTTTTTTTTAATCTGGAAAACTAGGTTTGGAAGAAGCACTGGGTCATTAAACTGCTGAAATCACAGAACATGCTTGATTCCATTAGAGCTATATGCACATTTTTAAAAGTACAGAATTGGATCCTGTTTTATATGATCTTCAAAACATAAAGTGTATATAGATGAGAACAGGTGAGATGAGCTAGCGTTATTTCTGGGAAGAGTCTAAATAATAATTGTTAGAAATTTTAAATGAGAATATAATCAATAATATTGTAATAACTATGTATGGTACCAGAAGGATACTGGACTTATTGAGGGGGTCACTTGGTAAATTATATAAATGTCTAATCACTATGCTATATACCTGAAACTAATATAATATTGAATGTCAACTGTAATTGAAAAATAAAATAATTTTGTATGAAAAAAATTTAAAATATTTCACTAAATATAAACACAAGCTTTATTTTTATGTTCATGAACAGAGTGAAAGGTGGTGAACTTAAGCTGCCAATTGAAGGATTTTATTAGCTATATATGAAGAATCTTTTTAGAATAGAAATTGGTAAAAAAATATATATATATATATGAATGAGTTGTCTTGAAAGGTTGAGAGATTGTCACTTTGGTGTTTTTTAAAAATAAGAACAGCTCCCACTGGAAATGGTGTGGTAATAGAGCTGCCTTAAGACAGAGGAATGGAGTTAGAATCCCTGTGCTCCGGGTTTATAGGATCACATCTTTTCATGGTATGATGGTTAAAAACATAGTCTGTTAATGGAGTTGTTTTCCTTTATTTAGGTGATTAAGCTCTTAAAATCAAAATACCATTATAAAGAAGAGGCTGAAATCATCTGTGACAAAGTTCAAGTTAAACTCAGCAAGGAATGTTTTCATCCTTCCAATACGTGCATTACTGATCTAAGGACTTCACACTGGGAAGAAGCAATCCAGGAAACAAAGGGTGGTGCAGCCAATAGGAAATTGGCTGAAGAATGTTATTTCCTGTGGAAATCTACACGTTTACAGCATATGACACTAGCAGAAGATGTCAAAGCCATGCTCACTGAACTTCGAAAGGAGGTCTGCCTACTTTTATTAACAAATGGAGACAGACAGACCCAGAGGGAAAAGATTGAGGCTTGTGCCTGTCAGTCCTATTTTGATGCTATCGTTGTAGGTGGAGAACAGAAAGAAGAAAAACCAGCACCTTCCATATTTTATTACTGCTGTGATCTCCTCGGAGTACAGCCTGGGGACTGTGTGATGGTTGGTGACACACTAGAAACAGATATACAAGGAGGCCTCAATGCAGGGCTGAAAGCAACAGTCTGGATAAATAAAAATGGAATAGTGCCACTGAGGTCATCCCCCATGCCACATTATGTAGTTTCTTCTGTGCTAGAGTTACCTGCTCTGTTACAAAGCATAGACTGCAAAGCAAATAAAAGGACATGATTATGTATTTTACAGAATTTGAACTAAGAAAAGTTAAGGCATTTCTTATACTATGACCTAGTTCTAAGAATAATTTTACTTATTTAATAATTTTACTTATTATTTAATAGCCAACCAACCACTGGCTGGTATTTATATATGGAAATACAGAACACATTAATACAGTTAGCTTTGGTAGTATGGTCAAAAAATTTGAAGACATGTATTATTTGTTAATCTGTGACTTGAAGTTTTTTTAAAAATTATTTTATAAATCTTTTAGCATCTTGGATCCAAGAAGATATCAAGCAGGACAGCTTATACATGGATGCAAAATACAGGTTTTATGTTCTGGCTTAAAAATAGATATTTTTAAAAAATAGACATTCTAAATCATATAATAGAAATTTATCAGAGCAACTGATAAATAAGTCATGCAAATAAGTACTAAGTAATGCAAATTAAGGCATTTCATAGATTATCTTGTGTATTTTATTTTTAAAAAATTTGTACACCATATTTTTACTTGCTTTGAATGTATACTTTCTTTTATGAATCTAATTTTTCTTCATGATCTTTTTTGGAGGGAGGGAGCTTTCAATTTTCCTGTGATGTATACATGACAAAAAATTCCTCCAGTAAAATAATCTGTTAAAAATCAACATGTTGCCCTTCTTTTCCATGACATTTTCACATCTTTCCAGAGTGAGCTTTTAGTTTCCTATTAGTCTTTACCTCTTATGAAAGTATTTTTACTATCTTTCCCCAGTTATACAATGGAGTTGAGGGGACTAGACTGTCTTGCTGGGGTTAAGTGCAAGCCACATGGCATCAAAAGTCATTTTCCTTTTGTGGATACATCAGAGAGGAATTGTCTTGGTGCGGCCTAATGAGTCCTTCCCTGCCCCACCCCCGTCTGTTCTCTACTGACTGAATAGTTTCATCCATATTATGAAAACTATTAGAAAATTAGGTTTTGCTATGAACCATTTACAAAATGCCAATGTATTATTTGACTGGCTCTTGGTATTACTATCTGTCCCGACCCGCAGGACCTAGTTATTGCGCGGAACCCGAGGAGGACCTTACCTGAAAGAAAACATGGGCGGGAGAAAAGAATGGAGGCAAGACAGTATTCTGATCAAGCCTCAAAATTTTATTCAGCAGCAAGAGTATTTATACAGGACTAACAAAGGGGGGCAGGGCTAGCTGGGCGGGAGAGTATCTGTCACAGGCGCATTGGTTCTTAGCTGGTGGGGTGAGGAGTGGTAAGGGTTAGAGGGAGTGGGAGTGAAGGAGGGAACTGTAACTCTGGGCTGGGCTGACTGCTAGGGGGCTAACAAGATGCAGGATGCAGATAAGGCCTCGCCTAGTCACAAGATTCTTTGTTCTTAGTTTTGGCTCCCAACACTATCTTCCTTAAGTCTCCTATTTTTCAAATTTTGGGAAATGTATCCAATTTCTATATCCAATTCAGGGTTCACTTTGAGCTCATTAATGACTCCATAGCAAGGCATCTTGCAACTAGAAAAATTTCTATAGACAGCCTCATGATTTCACCATCTTAGAGTAATATGGTTAATTAAGGAAAAAATGAAATAATGATTTGCGGTTTTGGTAGGTTTTTAAGTTTTGTATAAGAAACTACAAATGTAAAATATTAGGCTGTCTGATAGGATTTGTATAACTATGACTTTTTCAAGTATACTATGATTCTGATACTAGATTCTAGATTGTGCCTCTCTATGAACCTATCTAGCCAATCATTTTTTGTCTACTACCAAGAACAGAATTCTCTGCCATTGTGCAGTGCCCTGCTGTGTTTACTTCTCTTGATTTTCAAAAATAGGATTGTGCCATTAACTGTCCCAGAATGCTGTTGCTGTAAAGCTGAACATTTGAAAACAGGGTATTTTTGTATGTATTTACAGGTATGATGCCCATGTGACCTCAATATTTTAGTTATTTAAAAATCATTAAGTTGGAGGACCTTGACAGAAAAATAATTATGAACATGATTTTTCTAATAAATGATGTGTAATACTGAGTTTCCTTTTAGCTGTCCCACAGGATGGATGTGAGCAGTGTCACATTCATTATGCTAACTGGAGAAGGTTCATCACTAGTAGATCACAACAGCAGATCTCAACAAGATAGAGCATAGGATGTTATGTGAGCAGTTTTTCAATGAAAATTATCTGCAGGATAGAAAATGAAATAAAATAATTGAGTTTCTTTGTCTTCACAGTTTGTATTCTATACAGTGCAGTAATGCAATATTACTTTCTATTTGCACCCGTCCTTAGGGAAGGATTTTGTGGTTTTCTACCTTCTGAGCGGAATGTTACAGAAGATATTAAGAAATCTTGGAATAGATCTATGATTTTATTAACGATTTTGTTTTAAAATAATATTACTTAAAATTAAAAAATGATGTAATGGCAGTGTCCTATCTTGATTTTTTTTGTAGTTTCCCTTTAGTGGTATGCTCATACAAAGCCATAAATTCACAATTGTCCAGAGGTTCTCCCAAATACTATAGTTAGAGAAGTCCTAGATAGACACACTGACTTAAAGATGGATGTTTTCTAATTCCGTATACACATTCACCCACTGGTGCACGAACAGCTTAGATTTGGTAGGGCCCAGAACCCAAAAATGTTGTAGAAAAGACAGTTTTTTATAGTTGCAGAGGTACTTGGTTTAGTATCTTCAAAGTTCTTTGTAACCCACAATAAAAAACATTCTCCTGCTCAAACCATTAAAAACATTTATCTATTAGTTAATATACCTTAATATGTATGTTAAATACAGTTTAATTTTTATTATTTTTGATGACATTGGTTAACGAAATCCAGTTTCAGGTGTATACTTTAACAGGCATATATTTATTGCATTGCATGTTCACCTCCCATAGTTAGATTTCAGTCACAACATATTTGACCCCCTTTACCCCACCTATATACCTCCTTCACCCTCCCTCCTACCCTCTGGTAATCACTAGTCTATTGTTCATATCCATGAGTCTCTATTTGTCCTATTTCTTTGTTGCTTTTAAGTTTATATCTCACATATAAGTGATACCATGTGGTTTTCAACTTTTTCTGTCTGGCTTATTTTGCTTAGAATGATTATCTCAAGGTTCATCCATGTTCTCGCAAATGGCTGTATTTCATCTCTTATAGTGAGTAATATTTCATTGAATATATATACCACATTGTATATATGTACATATATTGTATATATGTACCACAGCTTCTTTAGCCCATCCTCTATTGTAGGACACTTTCGTTGCTTCTACATTCTGGCCACTGTGAATAATGCTGCTATGAACATTGGTGTAAAATATATCTTTTCAGATATGGGTTTTCTAGTCTTTGGGGTAAATACCCAGTAGAGGGATTACTAGATCATATGGTAGATCAATTTTTAGTTTTTTGAGGAACCTCCATACTGTTTTCCATAGTGGCTGTACCAACTTGCAGTCTGACCAGCAGTATATGAGGGTTCTTTGTTCTAACAGGTGTGAGATGGTATCTCACTGTGGTTTTGATTTGCATTTCCCTAATAGCTAACGATGTTGAGCTTCTTTTCATATGTTTGTTGGCCATTTGTATGTCGTCTAGGGAGAAGTGTCTGTTCAGTTCCTCTGTCCATTCTTTGATTGGATCATTTGGTTTTTTTGTTTTTATTGAGTTGTATGAGTTCTTTGTATATTTTGGATATTAGGCCCTTATTGGAGGCATTGCTTGCAAATATATTTTCCTATTCGGATGGATGTCTCCTTACCTTGTTGAGGTTTCTTTGCTGTACAGAAGCTTTTTAGTTTGATGTAGTCCTGTTCATTTAATTTTGCTTTTGCTTCCCTTGCCTTTGAGGTCAAATTCATAAAATCCTCTTTAAGTCCAAGGTCCTTGAGTTTAATTCCTATGTTTTCTTCTATGCATTTTATTGTTTCGGATTTATATTCAGGTCCTTAATCCATTTTGAGTTAATTTTTGTGTGTGGTGAAAGACAACAGTCTAGTTTCATTCTTTTGCAGGTGGCTTTCCGGTTTTCCCAGCACCATTAAATACAGTTTTGTATAGTTAACTGAAGCAAATTTTATAAAACTACTTCCTTAGTACATATGATGCTCATATATTTTCATTCCATCCTCTTTTTAAATTAAGGAATATATTTTATTTGTTTTTGAACAAGTACTATTTACAATTCACAAGCCAAAAGAATGAAAAAGAGCGAGTGGCAAAAATTCTAATATCTTCCTGTATATCTGTATATACCTCAAAGATAGTGTGGATCTAGTTCCAGACCACCACAATAAAGCAAGTATTATAATAAAGCAAGTCACATTAATTTTTTGGTTTCCCAGTGCATGTAACAGGTATGTTTATACTGCACTGTAGTCTATAAGTGTGCAATAACATTATGTTTTTTAAAAAATATACTGTGTGTACCTAATTTAAATTTTTTTAAAAAATAAAACAGCTAACCATTATCCAAGCTTTCAGTGAGTTATAGTCTTTTTGCTGGTAAAGTGTCTTGCCTCATTGTTCATGGCTGCTGACTGATCAGGATGTTGGTTTCTGAAGGTTGAGGTGGCTGTGGTAGTTCTTAAAAATGAGACAGTGGAGTTTTCCTAATCAATTGACTCTTTGAGGAATGATTTCTCTGTAACATGCAATTTGATAGCACTTTACCCACAGTAGAACTTGTTTAAATTGGAGTTTATCCTCTCAAACTCTGCCACTGCTTTATAAGCTAAGTTTATGTAACATTCTAAATCCCTTGTCATTTCTACAATCTTCACAGCATCTTCACCAGGAGTAGATTCCATCTCAAGAACCGACTTTCTTTGCTCATCCATACGAAGCAACTCCTCATTAGTTAAATTTTGATTATGAGATTGCACAGTTCAGTCACACCTTCAGGCTCCACTTCTAATTCTCAGTCTCTTGCTGTTTCTACCACATCTGTAGTTACTTCTTCCACTGAAGTCTTGAAACCTTCAAAGTCACCCATGAGGATTAGAGTTAACTTCTTCCACGTCCTGTTAATGTTGACATTTTGACCTCTTGCCATGAATCACAAATGTTCTTAATGGAGTCTAGAATGGTGACTTCTTTTCAGAAGGTTTTCAACATACTTTGTCCAAATCCATCAGAAGAATTGGTAGCTATAGCCTAATGAAATGTATTTCTTAGTAAGACTTGAAAGTTGAAATCACTCCCTGATCCGTGGGCTGAAGAATGGGTGCCGTGTTATTAGGCATGAAAATAACATCAGTCTCATTGTACATCTCTATTAGAGATCTTGGGTGACCAGGTACATTGTCAATGAGCAGCAATATTTTGAAAGGAATCTTTTTCTGAGAAGTAGGTCTCAGCAGTGGGCTTAAAATATTCAGTAAACCATATTGTTAACAGATATTTACAAATCCAGGCTATGTTCTTTTATTTATAGAGTATAGGCAAATTATATTTAGTATAATTTTTAAGGGCCCTAGGATTTTTGAAATAGTAAATGAGTATTGCCTTCCACTTAAAGTCACCAGCTACATTAACCCCTAATAAGAGAGTCAGCCTGTCCTCTGATGTTTTGAAGTTGGGCATTGACTTCTCTCTAGCTATGACGTCCTAGATGACATCTTCCAACATAAGGC